TGAATGTAATATTCAATCCCATGATGTGTGTATTTAAAATCACCAACAGTACAATTTTTATAGGGCGACCGTAGTCTTGTTACACATTCTCCATCAGATTTAGGTCTGGATTTTGATTATTTAACACATTAATATGCTTTTGGTCTGGCTCTGGTGATATGATAGGTGATGCTGTCCTACTGGAAGGTGAAAATCCACCCCAGGCCCAGTTGTTTGTTGCTTCTAAAAGGTTTTAAACTATATTAGAAATTTGGGGGTGAAATCTGCACTCTAAGTCTAATGCACACAACCATGATTGTGAAGCAGCAGATCATATGACACTGACTGACCCTTGAACTCAGCTGGTTTAGAGGCACAAGAGTGAGTGGCTAATGGGGATTGGCGAGCGAGATAAAAGGAGGCAAATTGCACCTCTTTGTGTCTGAGTCCAACAAAACTCAGCAATGGTGAATCCATTACAAGTGAGAAACTCTGTGTCCCCTACCTGACCTGAAACCGGTAACTCTGTGCCAGAAGAGTCTGGAATAGAGATACGAGTAATGACAGATATGCGGTCGATGTAGATGCAGGAAATGTGGACATGATGGGCTACTGACTGACGAAGTTAAAATGGAGGGAAATTAGGGAATATATTATGAAGATCAGCTTTAAAGTGTAGAGTAAATATGAAAGATCTCCTGTTACTAAGTAGAGTGCTTTGCTCAGAACATGACTTTAACAGCTTGTCCAGCCATGAAGACATTGCCTGAAATAATCCGACTATGAGCAGCATGGAGGTCTGTGTGTAAAACCTCATCTACGACAATCCCCAGGAATCACTTGGCAGAGCAGACACTTCATAAAATCACTTCAGTTTCTCTCTGTGACTTTGAAGATTAGATCTGGAAGGAGAGGCAGATGACAACTACTTGCCATGTTTCACTTGGCAAATCAGTGGATTTCTGCTGCGTAGCTTTGCTTTTGCTACATTAGCAGGGTTTCTCTCTGAGGGCTGGAGCGATAACACATGGCAGACTCCCACCATTATGTAGCCTCCAAAATATGAAAACTGTTATGTTTCTGGTCCTTTTCCACTCAAAACACATTTAGTTATTTTGAAATACTTTGCATGCATGGCAGACAGAAGAATGGTGACTGAGAGGTAAATATTCTTAGCTTGTGCTCCACCAACCGTTGCATAATATTACATGTGAAGTTTTATATCTGCAAAAAAAAAAATATTCAACCATGCATAGAGTTTCATGGCCAGAACAGTAAAAACCAAAAATGGAGAAGTACGTTTTCAGACAGCGGAAAGTTGTGCAGCAAAATCTCATGAAACATATTCACCTGAACCTGGCAAAGGACACCGATCACATCCATTTCCCCAGGCTTTGCCCACACGACTGCAGCAGCATATCTGCTTAGTGATGTGATTGACAAGAGGCAGAGAGCATGTTCCTGACGACACTGACCGGTAGCACGAGGCCCTGTGGTCAGACACTGCCTTGTCAGCTGAGGAGACGTCAGAAGATCTGTTAGGTTCTACAAACTCGTATCAGGAAACATTTTTTTTTTTTTTTTTTTTTTTTTTTTTTTTTGCGTTTAGACTCAGAAAAATGATCGAAGACAAAAAAAAGCAATGCTTACAGACACAGTGGCTTCTGGCAGCATCCAACATATAACCTGGCTTACAAGTACACCTGTAGCTTCCTTTGGTATTGAGACATTCAGCGTTCTTACATATCCCTGGCAACAGGCACTCATTGATGTCTGCAAAAAAAACAACAAAAAAAAAACACACAGTTCGTTAGTCATCCAGCAAGGAGCACGTTCTAATTCTGGAAAAACCATGAAGTCACTTCTGAACTCAAATTGAACTTCCTAAATAAACTTTATACATCAGATTTAGAGTTCTGTATTTCACTGGGAATACACAAAGTTTTCGTGCTGCAGATCAGCAGAGATGATGAAAGTAAAAGGAAAGACTTCATTTGAAGGCATTAAAACATTCACAACAGATTTTGAGTCTGCTGAGAGCCGATGAAACCTGGAAGCATTACGGTTCTGCAGTTGCTTATAATCAAAAAAGGAGCGATGATGACGTGGAGACAAGCAAAAATAATAATAAAAAATCTCTTCTAAAGAATATCTGAGGAGATTTTCAAACACAATAACGGACTTATGGTCTATTTCTTTTTATCAACAGCTGCACAAGGATAATAAAAATTAATGAATGCTGTTGGAACTTATAAAAATAAAAAAAAATAAAACAATATTGTCCAGGTTGATACCTGTAAGAATCAGAGCTAGGCAGCTCTGGTTGAGATGAATCCTTGGAGCAATAGCAATCAGATGATGATGAAGATCTGATGATGTGAGACTTCAAGCTAATTGTTGAGTTTGACTCTGATGTTCCCCAGGCCACACAAAGACACGAATGGTTTTCAGGATTCAGTCAACACAATTTTGTTTAGATAGGTTTCCATATAACACTAGTAAGTGCTACACTGTGTGAGTCACTTCACCTACCTTCATGACATGCTACTAGAGGGGCACTGTCATTCATCCAGTATTTAAAATGACAAGTGAACATTTAAGTTCTAATCAATTCTGAATTGAACTTTCCCAAATGCTTGTTCTCTGATTGGAGAAATTTTGACAAGTGTCTTAGCTGTATTGTTAAAAAAAATAAATAAATAAATAAAATAAAAAAGGGACTGGACTGTATCTTTGTGGCGTAAAGTGACCTTTCCTGCACCTGCACCTGTAACAATACCCTGTTTAATGGCTGTGGAATCGCTATGCTTAATTGGCCAGCAAACTGGTCTTTATGAAAAACCCAAAATCTACAAAGTCATGTAAAAGAAGACGACATACATCGGAGCCAATATTAAGTTGAGCTGAAGACCATTATTAAAGCAACTTGAGCTGAAACCTGAGTTTACCACTCCAGGTGTAGCGGTTCAGCAAAAGGACCAAGGAGTGAGTTAAACGATGCATGCTCTGTAGGCATCCCACAGAGAATTGAATTTGGGGTTTTCACTGTAAATCATAATCAAAAAATGCACAAAAACAATTACAGCACAATGTGTGTAATGAATACAAGCAGTATACGAGTTTCAGAGAATGATTGGATTTCTAAGGCAAAATACCCTTTTGCCAATATTTGGATTTACTGAGATTTTACCTGTAGTTGGTACTGGCAAGATATATTATTTTCTACATGTTTTGCTGCAATGACAAAAGTATGTCTGGAGATAATAAAATATCACATTAGATTCTGCTATAAACCCACGTACAAATTACACATAGGCATTTACTTGCTAAATTATCCCTAAATCACATACAACTTCGAAGGTGTACTGTAGAACACAACTGAAGGATAAGTTTTAATATAAAACTGTCAAACCAAGAATAAAAACATGCAAAAAATGGAGGTATTTCTAAGAACTCTGATAAGTTTACTTCAGCGTTTTCTGATGCCATCGGAGGTACAATAATGTTCAATGCTCCCTTTTGAATGTAGTTTGATAAAGATATAAGAAATTTAATCACAAAAGAAATGCATCGGCGCTAAGCTTTATCTAATGTCTGCCAGCCATTTTAAATAAAGTGTCTAGTATTTTAACAGCTTCTCAAGTTTATATTTACAAGTGAAAGCTGAAGGAGGAGCTTGTCTGCTCTTGAATCACTGAATGAAATGTATGCAGTCCGGTTGATATGCCAGGCAGGAGCATGGGGGACATATTTGAGGTGCTTAGTCATGCAGTCCCACTGGGACCAGGCAAAGTTTGTTGTGTCGGTGTGTTAAACAAAGACTATATCATTAGGTCTTTTCCCATGGCTCTGATAACTGCAACCCGACGGCCTGCCACCGCAAATTTTCCCCAATTCTAATTAATCTGCTCTTGTTTGGTTGTTTTGCTTCCTGCTGGAAAATGTGAGCTTATAAGGGATTAGAAGCTGATAAATTCTGAAGAATGAGCAAATCCAAGGAATGCCACAAAGTTTGTTTTGTTTCTTGTGGTTTCTTCTTTTCTGTCTTTTCCTTTTACGCTGTTCTTTTTTTTTTATCTCCACAGAGGTCCAAACTTTCAATCAATGGGTGACCTTATTCTTCCTGAGCCTCCAGCATCTATTTTATCACAGCATAAATATACCACTGTATAAGCTATCTATTTGGATGAGTCCAGGTGGAGCACATGCTGTAAAGACAATTAAAGAAGGGAGCTGGCCTCCCTTCATCTACAAATACCTTTGGTCAGTGTTGTGAGTGCAGGTGCTGCAGTGACTTTAAGTTTAAGCAGCATCCGGTCAGAGTTCAGGTCAGCCGTCGTCACATGAGGTCTTCAATGCGCCGTTCAGCCGGGTCTCAGATTAGCGTTATTGTTACAGTCTGCTGCTGGGAAGACTGGGATTGAAACTGACTTTCATGACAACCTGTCATGGCCAGAACTAATTTCAAGATGTGTTTTGAGTTTACGCTTGGTAGCTCATGCTTGGTGTAAGTAGCTTTTAACATGATTGTTTTTACAGTCTAATTGCGAGTGAAGAGGCATGTTCACCAAGTGTCAAACAGTTTCTGTGACCTTGTTTCATCTCGCCTCCTCTTGACATTTGGGAAATGCAGTCACTTGTAGGATTATTTAAGAACAACAGCAGGAAAGTTTTCGACATCAGGCTTCTTTTTTCCCTAGTATCAGGTGTAATCAGGGTTCTTGCACATATTTTATGAAAAAAAAAAAACTCCAGAAAGCAATTTTCAGATGTCTCAACTCTTCACGCCTGTTTTAAGATGCATATAAAATGGTTCGTATAAGATCATGCAATATATTTCTATGGACAAGTTTTAAATATTGAACTTGTCCAATATTAGGCAAGTTAAATATATATAAATTTCTATATATAGAAGTCTTTAAAGGACTTCAATATATATAAGGAAGGGAAGAAAGAAGATGGATAAGAGGGAAACAGAAGGAGTCTATGGCTACGATGGTAGAAGGCAGAAATTAATCAGCGAAGGAATAAAAGATGAAAAGAAGGAACGCTTCAAACCAGACAAAACAACTGGATCCAAAAAGGACATCTATTTAAAGACTGTCAACAGTGGTTAACAAACAGCCATCGTTGGGAAACATAACAGGCAAATTAATATTGATACATCAGGCAGTAGTTACGATGATGAATGTCAAATGTGAGTGTTTTAAATTTGCTGCTAGCTTTTATTTAGATTATCCAAAACGTCAAGAGAATTATGTAAGACTCCTATAAACTGTCCTTTGATGTGGCACATGAGTAATACGACCTTCTACCAGTGCAAGTTTACTACCCACAACAAAGCCTGTGCTTGCATTTCTGTGGGCCTTTCATCCAACAAGCACAGCTACAAATGGCCAATTCAGCTGGTCAAGTTTCCCCATGGCAGCATTTGAAGATAAGGAATCATCTCTGAAGTCAGAATGCTCACACAGGCCCCGAAGGACGTCTCCAGGCAGGATGTCAGTGACTGGAGCATGTGCACACATACAGATTGTTTAAAAAAGAATCCATACCCATCAATTCTCCCAGATTTTTGTCACATTACAACCAGAAGTTTTGCTTCAGACTGGATGCCTTCCATCCAGTCTGAGTCATTTTGCGAATAAAATTAGGTATGGAGCTGTGATTTCAGCAAAAGGTGGTTCAAAAAACAAAACAGAAAAACACTTAAGTTTGTGGTTCCAACATGAAACGAAGTGAAACATTTTAAGAGGCATGAATACTTTTGCAAGCCCCTGTAGCAACAGTAGATGAGGCCTAATATTCAATATGAGACAAGCATTCCCCTGTTCCAATAAAACACACAAGAAGCAGCTGAAAATAGAAGCCACACTGGGGCATGCTCGACGCCATTCTGAGAGCAATGAAAACCTTTCACATGAAGCATTTTTTTGTCCTTTTGGCTGGTGGGGGTGATACGAGAAACTGAAACACAACAGCTACACAGGATAGAGACTTTAAAGCAATTCAGTAAATATTATGGCTAACTGTCAGCGATGGGTTGTTTGGAACAGAAGTGACTGGGAGAAAGAAACAGCTTGAAACAATCATAAAAGAAAAGTATTAAAAATACAAAAACACATTTCACCAAATGTTGGCTGGACAACGTACTACTGGAAAATAAATCTGCACTTGTACAAGCAAGGCCTTGCAATGTGGAGTGTTGTCTGTGCTCAGGATATCAAAGAAAACATCCCTAAATCTGGGTAGATGAGGGATGAACTTGCTGAACCAGATGGTGAGATCTGTCATGGAGGTGTCCAAATCGGCCCACTGAAGCATTATGTTATTATACTCCATAGGCTTCAGTAAGCACTGCCCCTTGGATTATGACACTGTTAATCAAGTCAGTGGCACAGCTCTAAGCAGACTGTTTTTGTTATTCTACGCATCGACATCAGTTGTCAGAGTTGGCCCTTAGATCAAGCTGTGCAGTTTTTCCTTTGATTTTCGGACTTCGCTTATTTACTAAGACCATGAACAAATAGAAATGCTCTGAATACGTTAGCAAGGGACTATCCACAGAGCTGACACTGTGGATGGTTACTGCTTCTCGGACCATAAAGCCAGCTGATAATTTGCCATCCCCATGATGCTCAGAGAGAACCCTGTATGTGGGATCTTTGAAGTTTGTTGCCGCACACAGATGGATTGCTTTGCTGGCTTTCACGCTGGTTTTATTCTCTTGGAACATTTATAAACGGCAGATCAACTAAATGCAACAAAAACTCTACTAAAGGGGTGGTATGTATTTTCCAGGCACATAGTGTCCTTTTATAACATAATCAAGTATGTTCTTCAGATGTTATAAAAATGCCGTTTATGTCAAACACGACTTAAAAGAAATTTGAGTTTGTAATTTGGTACCTTGAAATTGGGCCTCTGTCTCTTTAAGAAGCTCCTATTCTTTCTATGGCAAGGCAATTAGAATTACGGCTAACTACACTCACAAAATGACTTTTTCAACATATTTTTTGACTTACCTTGACAGTGTGTGATGTTCATTCGTTTAAAACCTTTGGGACACTCCACTTGTCCATTAGCAATCACTGCATATGCTGCAAACAGGGAAAAAATGCATTGCTTAGCAAAGTAAAAACTTCACAGTGAAAACAATATATATATATATATATATATATATATATAAAATATAATATACCAGTCTGCTGCTTTTCACAAATGTTTAAGTCCACTGAACTTTTCCAAATTTCATATTACAACCTTACATTTCAGTGTTTTTCACAGTGATTTAGTTCATAATTCTGAGATAAAAGAAAGGGGATTAATAGTTTTTGAGTTTTGAATAAAAGACTAAAAAGTGTGATGTGTCTTTGTTTTCAGCCCCCTTTACTCTGACCCCCAAAAATAAAATCCAGTGCAGTTAGTTGCCTTTAGAAGTCAACTAATTAGCAAAATATTAATTATAACATACTGCCAATCATGGTGTTCTGTGAAAGCTCCAGAGATTTTCTTTTAGAGCATTAGTCAACAAACAGCTTTCAGGAAGACTAAGGAAAACAGCAGACATGTCAGGATAAAGCTGCAGACGATTTTAAAGTAGTGTTACGTTACACGTAATGGCTTTTTACCTGGCCCATTGTAACTTTTGAGAATCTGCTGAGGTTAACAGTTTAGGATACAACTATTAGTTGCGCACACCATAAATTTAGTCTTTCTGCAAATGATAATTGTTGCGTGAAAATCGTAACAAGTAGGATTTAAATTTTTCCACAAGCTATGCAGGAGACAGCAAACGTGTGGAAAAATGTGCTCTGGTTTACATGAGACCAACCAGAAACTGGGGCAGAGGTTAACCTTTCAGCAGGATAAACATTTTGAAAACAACGCATTTGTGTCTTTTTTGTACTACTATTTCTTTTACTTTTGCTACTTTTTCTTGGCTTGCCATACCGTCCCAAGGCAAAGTCACTACCTGAACTGAGCAACAGGAAATCTATGTGTTGCTATCTAAATGTGAACCTTGAGGAACCTTGAGAGAGTAATTATATTAAAACTGATTCTCCTGTTAATATTTTTATAAAACAGTGCAGCTAAGCAGCAAGCAGATTTAACAATGCTTGACATCATCAACTGGAAAATATCCACTAGTCTTCTTTCGTCAGGGAATATGAAGTTAATGTTTAAGTCAGAAATGTGTTGAGGAAGTCCTGACCTTTATCATCGACCACACTGATGATATACATTAAAATAGTGCTCTAACTCTGAACAGAAAGAATGATGATTGACCTACAGTTTTCTGTAAATTGATTGGCCAGGGCTTATTTTTACGTTTGTTTTTTTTTTTTTTGGCCAGAACAGTAAAAATCTAATGGTGTGTGTCATTCTGATGTGTACATTAGAAGTTCACGGAGGTGCCAGAGTAAACAACCCAGAGTGTCTGTTGATGCCTCGATGGGGTCGGCTGTCAATGTCAGAGGTCTGAAAACATGTTGTCATGGCTTGCCTGGCGGGCAGTCAAGCCTTGGCATGCTTCATTTAGCTCACAGACCGGTCAATGCAACTATCATATGGCAAAAACTGACTCTGTGTTTCAGCAAGAGTGTGTGTGTGTGTGTGTGTCTGCATGTTTGACGGGGACTGGTGAGTGTGCAGGGTTTTGTGCATCTGTGCAGAAACAGAATCAATATTGGTGGCAGAACCTTCTGTGATATAAACTGAGATGACAGGTTTGTCTGCATTTCATGATAAAATATCCAATGCCTGATTTCTGAGAGGAAAATGTGCACATGGTTGAAAAGAGGTGAAAGGATTGATGATGGGTTTATTAGCAAGACAGAAAAGTTTCTCATTGTTATTGTCCATTCATATTACCATCACAAACTCAGGAGGCTTAAAGAAGCTGGTCCTACTCTCAATAGTCTTTTTTTATTATTATTTACACCCCCACAAAAGTATTTCTTCTTTATAAAGTAGTACACTCACTGAGAAAGTATAAAACTAGAAAAGTAATTTTCCATTTTAGGAAACAATTTTGACAAACAATCAGAGTCAAAAGTTGGCGCATGCAGTTGAACTCATTAAAATAAAACTTTCCCAGCAGGGAAACGATCAGGAACACAAACACAAAACCAGAACCATAACTTAATGGTTTGGATAAGTGCATTTCATGTGTTAAAATGACCAACTCAAAGTTCAGGCCTCAATCTAATTGAGAATTTGCGGTGAGACTTAAAATTTTACTATCTCCATCAAGTCTTGCACTTGTTATTGCAGAAAAAGATGCTTCTATAGAGTAGATTACATATTACTAATATGCAATAGCATATTACATTTTTTAAAGATTTTCATTTCTAAAAAAGTCTGGAAATCAAACTTTCCTTCCACTTTACATACACTTAGTCTTTGCAGAAACACAAAATTTATGTTAAAATTCCTAATTTGTTACATAGCATGAATATGAACTGGACAAAAGTGAACATCTATGCTTCTGAACATCTATTGCATCAAGTCAATATATTTCCTTCAATTTCCTAAATGAAAATTACAGTAAATGCATCTATAATCCAAACTTACATAACACAGATTTTATGTTCTCCTTTTGGTTTTTGTCTGCTTTATTCTGCATATACTATTTAGTTTTAGGCTGGCTATGTCATGTGGTTTTCTTAGTCCTCACATTCCTGCTTTTTTTTTTTCTGAAAGCCCACCCTCAGTATCCACCACACCCATCCATGACAGACCGGACCAAAAGTAATGCCTTGCTTTGAATCTGATGCCAGGGCAACGAAAGTGAGAAAACAAACTTGACGTATGTCATAAACGACGCAATCACTGATTTACCAGCAAAAAGAACGCAACTCTTCCCTTTTGGAGTCTTTAGGGAGAGTTAGATGGCGTTTGTGACTACATGTTGACAGAAAGGTGGATCTAAATGATGTAAAGGGCCATCTGGATCCTTAGCAAGTCCAGACAGAGTGGCATATTCTCTTTCATCATTACACATTAAAAGCAACACTGTTTATAGCAAACAATCAGTGCTTTTTGAGCCTTTTCAAACACGTTTGAGTAAAATAACACCCTGCAATCTGTCACAATGCTGTCTCATTTTACCAGGGCTTACTGGAATGTCTGGCACATGGAGGCTCTTTGGGAATAGGGTCCTGGAAGTTGTGTTATGGTCCTGCTGTGACCCGGTCGACCGAGCAGGGTCAGTGTACCTGAGGACTGACGGAGCAGAAGTGGGTCAGGATGAGGGAGGCAGCCTGAAAAGCGAGTGAGAGGTGGGGGCGGATGTGTCAAAGTAATGCCTCTCATCCTGTCCATCCATCCCCTCATCATCCTCAACACCCTGATAATCCTACTCAGAGGATTCAGAGTAATTAGTTGTTGTGTTGGAGCGACGGGCATGTCTTCCTGCAGCGATGGGATCAGGGAAATTCAGACCTGAGTGACAGAAATATGCATGTGCCAAGGGAAGCCCAGTAGGGGAGGCCGCTGTGTCTCAATAAAGCTTATTAGCAGGCAGAAAAAGACCTTTGCAGGCAGTGGGAACTTCAATGTTTCAAGAGAAAAACTTGATCCTAATTTTCAGGAAGCAAGAGGCTTCCTAAAATTTATTTCCATATATTATTTGGCAGATGGAGCTCAACATTTCCTCATGTGTGCCCTAAGAGTGGCTGTTACTGGAGTTCAGTTTGGTACATATTTATTGCTCCCCGGGGGCAATTTGTTTGCAGAGTGTCAAAAACCAGCTGCTGAGCTTCAGCACACAGATGCCATCAATGACCTGACTTCAAACTGGCTGCCTTTCTATGTTTTTCTAAAAACATACAGAGTTCTTGCTGTTTTCAATTACACAAGTACTTTAAAGCAATGGTTCTCAAACTTGTATGGCAAATCCCTGCAGTAAAAACTAGGTTCTCCAAGTACCACCATACTGGCATAGTAGGACTTGGCCTTTTTCTCAGTTTGCTCTGTTGCAGTATGAGAGTAAAAAAAATTGAACTGCATGAACTGCATGAGTCATGTAAACCATTTTACTGAGAAGCTAAAATTTCCCAATTTCAACCTGAGGAAAACAAAAGAAAGGCCCCATGAAGTCAAAAACCAAGTGGGAGACCCTGAGGTTTCTTGCCAAACCTAACATTAAAATCCAATATGGCTACATTATGTACCCACAGGTATAGCTTAATTGCAGTCTGGAGGAATTTTCTTTTCAGTAATCAAATTATAACATACACTCTGGCCAGTTTATAAGGTATGTTTATTCAACTGATTATTAACACAAATAGCAAATTGTAATGAAGAAGTTCAAAGTGAGCTTCAGCATGGAGAAGAAATTGAAATCGACTTTTACTGTGGCATGGCTGTTGGTGCCAGATGGGCTGGCCTGACTGATTTAGCACCAGCAGATCTACTGGTATAAAGAAAGAGAAATATCCAATGAATGGCATTTGTACAGACAAATATCCCTTGTTCATGTCAGAGTTTAGAGGACAAATGGGTTGGTATTATACGTATGTGGGAGATCCTCTTTGAATGCATGGAGACAAAAGTGCTCATACTGTCAACTACAGTAGACAGGCTCACCAAAATTGGACAATATCAAATTTCAAAAACCTTGCCTGCTTCAATGCGTCTCGATGGTAGCTGTAACATTCAGATGGTACGGTCAGAGTTTGACATAAACAACATAAAAGTATGGCCCAATTCCACATTGTACCAACATTTTAAGGTAGTTGTGGTAGTATAATGTTGACGGGGATATGTTCTTTCATGGAATACAATGGGTCTGTAAGTGTTAACAGAGCATTGTTTCAAATGCCACAACCTACTGAAATAGTTTTCTGACCACGTCATGCCTTTAAGACCTCATGTTGCTATTGTCTACAAATGCAGAAAAATGCATAATCTAGCTGGGTCTCTGGCAATAACAAATTGGCAAATTACAACACCTTTCTGAATTTGGAACTGGACTGCTGTTGAAGTGGGCTTGATGTCATTCCCAGATCTACAAGGAATTTTCAAAATGACACGACATACTTTTGAGAAGCAATGATCTACATGATCGAAAAACTAGAGAAGCAATGATCTACAT